AAATATTTTTTTTTCTATTTCCTTAAAGCTCCTTGTTGGGGATAGAGCCATAATTAAGTGGTGCTGCTGCTATAATTTTACTAGGAAGTAAATTTTCAAAGAGCTAAATTCCTAGCCTCACACTCAAGACTGCTTTAAAGGGCTTAGGAGTTACAGCTAGAAGGAAAATGGATTCATGTCTTTCTCAAAGTACAGAGAGAAGACAGTGTCACTTAGAGCTTGAACTTAGTTTACCAATACCATTTTTCATGTTGTTAACTGTTAGGGCAATGTTTTGGCCTATACCATTGACCTAATTTACAAGAAAGAGAAAGATAGAAAGCATCAATAATGTGATAGCAACTCTTTAGTGGTCAATTGCAGCATGGTCAACAGTATATTCTTTATTCAAAAATATTTTCTAGAAAAGGGAAATTTCTTCTATGTGCTATGTCCCTTCAGGACTTTGGTGATCATGGCTCTCCACAATTTCCTGTCCTTTATAGCTCTTAATAAATTTTGTCTTTTTGCTATTTTTCCTAAACCTTGTCTTGCCATCCATTTACACTAGCCTGTTAGGCAATATGTTGTTTTCCTCTGTCTCTTTTGCCTTCAATATGCCCTGTGAGTGCCAAATTTTCCAAGCTTTCTTTCTTTATATGCCCTCGTAATTTCAACTCTCTTCCTGGGGTTAAGTATAAATGTTCTTTTTGTTTCCATTTTCTCTAAAACTTTGTTATTACTCCCATGTTTGGTCCATAGTATTCTTAGCATCCTTCTGTAGAACGACATTTTTGTTGCTTCACATCTCTTCATCTGTGATGAGATTGTCCAGCATTGACTACCAAACAGGAGAACTGATATTACTTAACAATTCAGTACTCTTTGTTTCTAATTAAGTTTTTCTTTTTCTTAATACTTTGATTAGCTTTTGGAAGGCATCTTTGGCTATCCCAATGTGCATTTGAATTTCAGCATTGCACTTTCCATCCCCTGTTAATATGCTTTCCAGATATTTAAATTGTACTTGTTTGATTTTGGTATCTCCAATTTGTAATTTGCATGTTGGACCTGTTCCTTTTGCTAACAACCATGTATTCTATTTTCTTGCAATTGATATTTAGTCCTTTCTTCTCACCTTCCTTCACTACCTTTTGTTGGAGTTCCTGTATCAACACTATGTCATATGCATATCTTTTGTTGTTAAGACTGTGGCTACCAATAATGAATCCTAATAGGACTTCTAATTCTTTCAGAATTGCCTTACTGTACAGATGGGGTGGTAGCACCTGTTAGGGTCCCAGCTAGGAGCAGATAGTGGACTCCCAAACAAAAATCAACAGTACATTTTTATAATAAAATGAGCAACAATAGATTTTTTATAGCAAAATGGCAATCAATGCAACACTAAAAAATATAAAAATACATTTTTTATAGTAAAATTACCAATAATACATTTTATCATCTGCAAACTATCTAAAAAAAAACATATCTTTTACTCTGAAAGCATAAAATTATGTACAGAATATTTAAATTTCAGCTTTAAATAATCCATAGAGGTTGATATGTCACTAAATAAAACCAACCAACTAACCAACCAAATCACTATATAGGTTGAACACCAGAAGGAAACTTTATATTAGGTTGGTGCAAAAATAATGTCGTTTTTGACGTTCAACTTAACGTCAAAAAACGACATTATTTTTGCACTAACCTAATAAAATTTTTGTCTTAAAAAAAAAAAAAAAGGACAAATAAATGTATTTCTACCATTTAATGCTTAAAAAATAATTTGTTTGGAGAGAAAATAAAAACATCAAAAGAAAATTTATTAAACCATAACAAATATCACCTCCATTCTTTCCATGTTTAGAGAGAGAGCACACTAACCTTCTTTGAAATTAAATCAGGAATCAGCATTGATGCAATACTTAAATAATCCAACCATTAGTCTAACCATAGGTATCAACATCATATGGTAATATTAGCCATTTTCTTATAAGGAAACTTTCAGCATTCATTGACTGAGCAGCCAGTGCAACTTTCTGTTGAAATTTATAAAATCTTTCTATTGAAATAATTTTTCAGGAAAATAGGTTTCTCAAATCCAGTAGCTGTTATTGCCCTTTCCAGTATTGAGGGGAGGGGGTATCCTTCCTAACCTTTTGTTTGAAGTCATGTGAAATGTCAACATATTGATTATGCCATTATTTTCTCTTTGAGTTACATGCTTTCCATTTTATTAGTGGTTGCTGTTGAAAGTTCTGAAATGATGTGGTTTTCTTTTATTTGATATTGTTCTTTGTGATTCTGTAAAACCAATTGACATAGTTTGAAGAATGATTGTCCTCTCTAAGACCTACATGCAAGTATCATCCTTCCTTGAGCCTCATGGACTCAAGAAAGAACAATCATTAGCTTTAAGAAACCAAAAATAAAATTACCTAAGTGTTCAATGGCCAAAGGAATAAGGGTTAATAATGATCATATGGTTGCCTGGAAATGATGAGTTTAATTCTGAATGAGATTGTGCAGAAATATATATTATTGAGTGGCAAAAATGATCAGTAGCATAAGAAAGAATTGTTATGTTTAAGTTTTGAAATTATAGGCATGACAAGTAAACAGAAGAGAACAATATACTTCCAATCAAATCTGCTGAGTGTGGCAGACATTAACAAAAAATGAATAATAAAAATGTAAAAAATTGAGAAAATTAGTCTGAAAGAATCAATATCAGTATATGGATTAACAAGTTAATCTCACAGATTATTATTATCATAAGAACAATTCTCACTGAGAAACCTTTACTTGTAGCCTTTTGTCAGACTAACCTTATTAAATACTAATGTATAACTATGAGGGCGTGTGAAAAAATTCTTGGCCAGACACATTTCCTAGACTCAGACCAAATGACTAAATATAAAATTTATTTTTTGAATCACTTCATGCACTTGAAATTCAAATAGACAGTGTGGTTGGAATAAAAGGGATGTCTGGATTTTTAAAAATAATTTTCATCAATGAAATACTTTGTCCTAGAATGCTCACTTGCTGAATTAAAGAGCAAGAGTAAATTTCTTGAATATTTAATAAAAGGGGTTGTTGGAATAAGGATGTCTTGGGTGAATTTTTCTTCAAAAAAGAACAATTAACCTGCCTGTCTATTTGAAACTCAAGCTTTAGATTCACATGGCATTAAGCCAAATGAGGAGAAATAGATGAAGGAAGATTGTGTGATTCCAATCTTTCAAGTGGGGTGGGCCTGCTTGCATTCAAAACCTGTTTTCTATTCTAGCTTGGATCCTAAAATGAAATATATAATTATTCAATTTGTTTTCTTTTATTGGCAACTTAGAATTTTGACCAGTACTCAGATTACTTCATTTTTGCATAAGAATTAGTAGTCAAGTTACTTAAATTTTTATGCTTGGTTATAATCAGTAGAAAAGAATGACATTTCAGTGTAAATAAACTAATAAAATTAGTAGATTTCTTGAATACAGTATTAAATAATATATTTTGTCAGTTTTTGTTTCATTTTATATTTTTCTTTTCTTTTTGAGTTACTTAAGATACACTGATGTCAGTTGTGGAGTTGCTTTAGTCAAATTTTAGTACAGTTGTTTATAAAGCGAACTGAGGCAGATCATTCATGGCTATGTTACACTAAAACAAATTACTTTAGAAATATAATCATATGAATTATTTATATCTTAGGTATCATCAAAAAGTATAGGGTTATATACATATAGGTCGGCACTTTTTGGCTAGGAGCAGGATACTTGGGTACTCAGCTTTGGATCAAAGTGTTTTTCTTCCAGGTAAGAACAGTGTTGTGTTTTCTGTGTTCTGCCTAACTTATTATTTGCAAATTAATTTTAACATACTGTTCAAAAGCAGAACATTAGTATCATTGGTATATCGCTTGCTTCCAGGTCAGATCAGAGCAAAATTTGTTTGCTCATTTTATACATGTTTAATTTAGCACAATGGAAGATCCAGACAGAAAAACAGAGACGCATACAGGAAAAGTCATACAGATCATTATTATATATATATAAATGTTATATTCCGTATTTAGATGCATGGGCGATGTGAAAACAATGTGGGCGAAATACTGCGTTTGGTTGCGAACAATGAAATTCAGAATCGAAAGAACAAGAAAGACTGTAGATATATTTTATAGTCTTTTTAGTGAGGAAAATAAGAACAAGTAAAAGGTTCGTATTTAAGAAGTTGAATGTCTATGGTAGTGGCAAGTAAAGTTCGTGGAGTTAACTTATGGAAGGGGAAAGGTACCCTTTGACAAAGCGTCGGGCGAGAGTTCATTAGCAGCAGCGGTCACATGCTTTGTTTCATCGCCGGGCCAGTGTGTCAGGAGCGAGCAACGTGACCCTTCTCTTCCGCCGTTGAATGGGACTGCCTTTTGACTTTCCTGTGTTGAACTTATACACGCCTATCGGCTCCAAATGGCAATTTTTTGAATACGCGGGAGACGGTCCGATTGGTTGATTTAATTCTTTCATTTTTTTTTTTTAGTTTATCCCAAACGGAAGTATCTGCATCGAACCTATGCGTAGACATGCAGTTTTCATTTCGAGTTGGGGACTCGTGATGGTAACTTCCGTTTATCGAAGCAGGGCAAGATCTCATCTTGTAACTTAAATATTATTATATATATATATATATATATATATATATATATATGATGCTTTCTTCTTTAGGTGTCATGCATTATACACACTTTGGTGATCATGTCTCTTTTTTATTTATGCTTGACTTAGCAGAAGAATTTCCACAGTAGGTTGACGTTACTTTCTGCAGTAAACGGGTTGCTAACCAAGGCTGTAAGTCCTAGTATATCCTGCTATATAACTTAAAGATGAGTGAAAAATAAATGGATTCATACCTTTCCCAAGTGTATTTGTGCTTACCTGAATATAAGAAACTTGACTGGAATTCAACTCTCTGATTTTGTATTCTGACTCATTATCCATCAAACCACCCACACATCTAAGCTTACAGTACCTGGTATTCCCAAGCAGTCACCCATCTAGGTACTAATCAGGCTCAATGTTACTTAACTTTGGTGTTTGAATAAGAACTGGTGTTTTAACATGATATGACCAGAAGCTCATATATGATGCTATTGAGAGTTACAAAAGGTAATTATCTCCCTTTGGTTGAGATAGTCACATCAATCATGTGACATCACTTCATACAGTGATGAAAGTGTTCAGTCATTCATTTGATTTACAATAAGAAAAACAAAGCAGTTGTTTGTTTGGCTTGGGCCTTGCAGCCTGGGATAAGGCTAAATCTACCTCCCCCAGCAGCTTACAAGTCCATGGTGCCATTTACCTTTGGGAATATATCTTCCCCAGATATAGAAAGAAACTCTGCCTTGAAGGCCTCAATTTGGAAAAAAACAAAATTCACCATTTTCTGTTTGTGGAATATGTCCTCCCCTGGGAAATAATAGATGAATCCAACCTGTTTGGATCTGGAGTCCTAAACATGAATTCTCCAGAAACATAGATGGATCTATATATTATATGTAAGACCCTATCTTTTTCTTCTTCTTTCACTGTGCTTGCTTTGTAGATATGTTATATTTTTCTTTGTGTGGGACACATGTAAATATATATATATTATAATAATATTTTTTGTTTAAAAATAATTCCTTCGCTACATAAGAGTTCTCATGTTTCAAAAACGAGAGCCAAAATCATCTAAATAATTAAGTTGGATTGTGGTGTTTAGTCCCATTTCATCTCTCTCTCTCTATATATATATATATATATAGTTTTGTGTATAGTTTTAGTGGTATAAATCTCTCTGATAACAAAGCATGTTTGTCATTCCTTTTCCTTTCACTCATTCCATTCCATCCATGAAATACAGTGTTATTGTATCATGGATATATTAATGCCCATAATGGGGGAAATAAATGGGAGAATAAACCTTTCTTTCATAGCTCCCCCCATAATATTGGTGACCATGACATGATATTATTTACCCAACATATGATATTGTTATCACCCATTACTACAATTTAAAAAAAAGCAAGGAAGAAATGAACATAGAAATAACATGTCTTTATTTATGATACTGGCCATAGTACCCATAAAAATTGATGGGATTATTTACATATGGGTTGGTACTAGGATCAGAAGATCTGTACACTATATGAGATCAAATTGTTATTACTTCACATTGGGTTCAGTGTAGTATCTATGTATTCTAAATTATTAATATTTCATATATGACTTGACTACCATTTGCTAGGTACATGATCTTGTAGGTAAATAACTGCTTGAATAAGGCAATTAACTAAATGAAATTATTCCTAATTGACTAAAATAGTGATGCAATTTCATCACAATATTTTGACAAGTACACCTCAGGCCTCATTAAACAATCAGATCATTATAATTGATCTATTGTTATTACTTTATATATCATTAATTGTAATTAGGTTGAATATAATTACTTATTGAAGTCAGATCTAGCACAATAATAAGCAATGTTATCTTATTTAAATTATTAGTTGTCAGTCTTAAGTTTTCTTTGAATTCATTCTTTGCCACTGTAATTATCAGCACTGTAAGCGTGTTTATCAATGCCATTTAGTCAACAGTTTTATTCAAATTGTCTTCCTCCAGGACTGTAGGCCTTGTAAACTGTAGCCAAGCTTAATATTTAAGTTATTTATTACCATATTGTTGAAGCAGCAGAATGATGGCATAATGGCTAGTACACTCAGCTGCTTATCTCTAGGTAGGATGTTCAAATCCGGGAATGTCTCACTTGGCAGTTTAAGATATCAGTTTGCAGAAGTAACAGAGAGAGAAAGAAAAACATTCAGAAAAAGTTACACTGTTCATTATTATATATAATGATGATAATTAAAGGGAAGTCAAGATCCAATAGTTATATATATATATATATATATATATATATATATATATATGTATGTATGTGTGTCATTATTAAAATAACTGACAAGGTAATGCAGTTAATTTTTTTATTTAATTTTTCTTGTGTTCTTATAAGGTTCTTCTTTTCTGGATATAAATTATGTAGAAATTATACGAATGTTCTGTATGTCCAAGTGCTTTCAGCTATACTTTTAGTTAAAAGTAAGAATGAAATCATCTTTGATAATGGCTAAAAGTATAGCGGAAAATGGCATGCAAAGCATTCAGACAATTTCTACATAATTTATGTTCAGAAAAGAGGAAACTTATAAGAACACAAGAAAAATGAAATAAAAAAACTTAACTGCAGTGCCTTCTCAGTCATTTTTAATGAACGCTTGAAGATGAAATGGAACTAATGCTTTTAATTTATTTGCAAAAATAAAATTAGGGGTTTTTAGCTTCTATTTTTGAAACATGGTTGGAACTGTGTAGCGAAAGTAACCATATTTTAAATCAATTAATTTATAATATTAATGCTCTGTAAATTTACATTGAGCACTATTTTGTAAAAATAAAATATCTATAAGAACACGGATTTTATATCTTACTGTTCTTTCTTTTTTTTTATATATATATATATATATATATATATATATATATATATATATAATCAGTTTGCTTTAATATAGCAGAAATTATAGACAAAATACTTAGAAAAAGTCGCACCATTATTATATACATGATGATGATGAAAGGGTAGGTAAGATTCACTTATTAATTTTTATATATATATATATATATATATATTTATATATAATTATTTATATATTATATGCACGGTACTTATTAGAAAGCACACAATATCAGAGATAGAGCTAACATATTTGGTTGTATTGATGTGAGTTTGTGACCCTGGGTTTCACGCTTTTGCGATCGTCAGACAAACTGATTAATTCTTTTAAAAATTTTGGGTTTATGTAGATTGCGTGTATTGCTGTTATTATAAGAGTGGGGGGGGAATCGTCGTCGTGATGTCATTGTGCTAACGCAAACATAGATGCATGTCCATATACCCGATGACGTACGCAGACACACATACACACTTGCTTGTCTGCCGGGACTCATACAGATATAAACATATGTGGACAGTATGAGATTTGACGTATGTATACGGGTGATGTTGTGTCTATCTATCTATCTATCTATATATATATATATAATATATATATATAGTACAGGTAATCATTCCATTGGTATATAATCTGGGTGGATCCTAGTAATATTAATTATTAAAACTGATCCATAGAGAGCTTGATGTTTTTATTTTAACTGAGAATATGTATTTTTTACAGTAAAAAAAAAAACAAAATTTACCTCAACATCTATATTGAGGTAATTTTTGTTTCTTGCTGTAAAAAAAAACAAAACAAAAAATACATATATAATGATGATGGTGATATTATTTTTACAGTGGCACTGGTTATATATCCTGCATGAATAGTTTAGGTGTTTACTATATAATTATCTCTATTTTCAAAAAAATATCCAAAGATAGTTAACACAAAATTAATGAAATAAAAAGTAATTTATAAGCAACCTGGTCCTATAACTTAGTAATATGATATTCCTTGTTGTTAACACACAGAATATTTGCTTATAGGAGTGCAGTGGAATAAGATCAATCTATTCATTTTTATTTTTTTTGTTTTGTCTTATCTTTCTTTGAATATATTTTGTTTACTTTTAATGACTTAAAAAATAGAATTCTTTGTTATATGCAAAAATAGAGTTAATCATATAGATAAAAATCTGAGATAACTTATGCATCAAGTATCACCAATGCAATTGCAGAATCAATTTAATATTATCGTTATTTTTGATAGTACAAGTAAAATTATTGAATAGAGAGAATTTTTCTGCATTTGTATTTCAAAGAAAGTAGCTTCTAAAAAAAAAAAAAAAAAGAAAATTCTGTGCCACCAATATTACTTTAAGTGCCTCACCATGGAGTCAATGGTTGAGTATCTCATTAGTCTGAGTAAGATAAAGGCCAGGACCCCAAAACAGAAAAAGGCCACTCAGAGCAAAAATATAAAAAAATCTCTTGAGCATTTCAGATAATGATTTCAGTATTTTTGTATATATATATATATATATATATATATATATATGGAATATTACAGAGGTTTTTTTTATTTGTTTTTTTTTTTAATATACCATCTCTCTTCAGTATGTGTACAATTATGGCTTTCCACAGTTTCCTTTTACTTTTTTATCTATGAATTACCATAACTGTCCTTAGAAGAAATAGAGAAGTGATTTCAATTGCCTTTTCAATGGTTTTGAATTTAGTATTGTTTGATTTTACACCACTCACATATTGTACATTATAAATATTATTTTTGATTTAAAAATTAGATTCCAAACAAATAAAAATTTGGATCATGCTGTATAATTTATTTATATTGTGATTTGTTGATTTTTACATGTTTTTATTGACATGGATCTGTTGATTTTACCATTTTTTTTTTTATTGTAATGTTAGTTAATCTGTTGATTTTTACATGCTTTTAACTGATGCCTTGATCTGTTGATTTTTACATGCTTTTAACTGATGCCTTGATCTGTTGATTTTTACGTGCTTTTATTGACACAGATCTGTTGATTTTTACATGCAATTTATTGCCACATTAATTTGTTGGTTTTTCCATCTCATTTATTGACATATTGATCTGTTGATTTTTACATGCTTTTAATTGACAAGTTGATCTGTTGCTGTTTTCATGTTTTAAACTAACATTTAGATCTGTTGATTTTATACACTTTTATCTGACACCATCATCTGTTGTTTTTATTATGGTTTTAATTGACACTTTGATCTGTTGACTTTTACATTCTTTTAATTGATTTATTGATTTTAATAATATGATTTTATTGACACTTTGATCTCTTGATTTTTTTTACAGCCTTTTTTGCATCAAGAACTTTCTTGAATTACAAATGAAATGACAAAGAAACAAAAAAATAAAGAATAAAATGGTTGTATATTGGTTCATCAAAATTAATTATATATGTGGTACATTATATTTAATATAATGATAAGTTATTTAACCTAAATTAGTCTCACTTTATTCTCTTCAATGAAGGATGATGCAGTAGGTTGGTTGTCATGGAAACCTTAACTGAGAGGTCAAGGCAGTAGGTAAT